ATTTATCAACATTAAATCTCATTTGCCACATAGTTGCTCAATTAAACAGTGCATTGAGGTCAGCTTGTAAATTGGAGACATCCTGTAAGGACGTTATTCCACTGCACAGCTTGGTGTCATCTGCAAAAGAATGAACTGGTATTTTTAATCCCAGACCCTATATCGTTTATAAATGTATTAAAAAGTAAGGGTCCCAACACTGAACCTTGGGGTACACCACTGACAACCCTAGACCATTCAGAGTATATATTAATCACTACTCTTTGAATACGGTCTTTTAGTCAGTTTTCTACCCATTTGCATACTGATTTTTTCCAAGCCTGTAGACTTTACCTTACACGTTAGCCTTGTGTAGGGAACTGTCAAATGCTTTAGCAAAATCCAAGTATACCCCGTCCACCACCACCCCTCTGTCCAAGGTTTTGCTCACCTTCTCATAAAAAAAAATCAGATTTGTTTGACAACTTCTGTCTTTCATGAATCCATGCTGTCTGTTGCTTAAAATATTTTTTTTCCAGCAAGAACTCATCTATGTGGTCTTTTATTAAACTCTCCAGTATCTTCCCAACTATAGAAGTTAAACTAACAGTTCTATAATTACTTGGTAAAGATTTTGACCCCTTTTTAAATAGAGGCACCACATTTGCCTTACGCCAATCCAGTGGTACTATGCCAGTCATTAAAGAGTTCCTAAAAATTAGAAACAATGGCTTTGAAATGACAGAGCTCAATCCTTTAAGGACCCGTGGGTGCATTCCATCCACTCCAGGTGCTTTATTCACCTTTATTCTGTCTAAATATTTCTGGATCATATCAATTGTGAAGCTCTCTATACACTGTTGTGCTAATCTGAAGGCCACATGAAGTTTGGAGGTCTTTAGCTAACTGACTCTGCAGACAGTTGACAACTTCTGTTCATTGTGTGCTTCAGCATGCGCTGACCCCATCTGTCATTTTACATGGCCTACCACTTCGTGATGGAGTTGATGTTGTTCCCAGTTGCTTCCACTTTGATATAAGACCACTTACAGTTGACCATGGAATATTTAGTAGCAAGGAATCACGGGTGGACTTATAGCACAGGTGGAAACTGAGAGCGACCCTTTCTTTCACAAATGTTTATAGAAGCAATCTGCATGCCTAGGTGGTTGAGTTTATACACCTGTGGCCATGGAGGTGATTTGGAACACCTGAATCCAATGATTTGGAGGGGTGCCTCAATACTTTTGGCAATACAGTGTATATACACTATATTGCCAAAAGTATTCAGCTCGTTCAATTAAAGTTTGACAAAAAACCTGGAAGCTGATTAGTTTCTATGCAGAGCTGCACCAGATTTTGCACTCTCCAGTTTTAGTAAATCAACCACTATGTCTTCTACAGCTTATATGCCTTTTCAAAGAAAGGGTTCTTTCTGTTCTCCCCAGGTGTCTACAAAATAGAATTTATATCCTTGCCCCTCCTTTATCTTCCAGTTACCTAGCTTCAGACCAAAGGAAGGCAGATTTAATGGCCACCTTGCACAAAACGTCAGACACAAGGGGTGGTTGTAGCTGTTCCTTCAGAATGCTTTCAAGGTTTTATTCAAACATATTTATGGTCCCAAAACCAAAATGGGGGCATCCGTCCAGTACTGGACCTAAATACCTAAACAAATTTCCTTCCATACAAAAATTTCTATATGGAATCTGAGATCTGTCATTGATTCCCTCAGACAGGGGTAATTTCTTGCCATCAGTAGACATAGAAGATGCCAATCTCCATATTTGCATTTTCCCATCCCACCAATGCTTTCTCCAGTTTGCTGTGGCAGATCAGCACTTCCAGTTGGTAGCACTGCTATTTGGGCTCTCATCTGCACCACAATTGTTCAGAAAACTGCTTGCCCCACCTCTGGTTACCTGAATGAACTCACTGAAGGACTACTCAGCCAGGACCTCAGCTGCCAACATCCAAGGACAATCCAGTTCCTTCAAACATTAAGTTGGATAAATGAGTTTCCAAAGCCTTACCACTCCAGACCAGTCTAAGTACACGTTATTTAGCAGCACCCTTTGGAAGCGTCCCTGTAACCAGTTTTCTATCTATGAAAAAACTCTATGGTCCTTGCCACACACCTCAGTTTGAAAATTAAGCATCTGTGAGGAACTGTATTGACTGCTTTTGCAAAATCCAGATACACCACATCTACAGGCCTTCCTTTATTTCGATGGCAGCTTACTTCCTCGCAAAATGTTAACAGATTAGTTTAGCAAGAACGACCTTTTGTTATTCCATGCTGATTACTACTAATGATACTGTTTACATCAGCAAAATCTTGGATATAGTTCCTTATCATCCCCTCCAATAGTTTACATACTAGTAATTTTAGACTGACTGGCCTGTCGTTTCCAGGAATATATCTCGGCCCTTTTTTAAATTTTGGTACCATGTTGGCCCTTCACCAATCAACTGGTACCATTTCTGTCAGAATGCTGTCTATAAAAATTAGGAATAGAGGTCTGGCTATAACCTGACTGAGCTCTCTAAGGACTCTTGCGTGTACACCATCTAGTCCTGGTGATTTATTTGTGTTAAGCTTTTCTAGTCTTTTTTGGACACTAGCTATTAGCCACAAGGGTACATTCTGTCATGTGTTATCAATGACACAGTCCCGATTACTATACCCCTCCTTTTCCCATGTAAAGAATGAAGAGAAGAATGCATTTAGTACAGTTGCCTTCTCCTTGTCATTTATAAACCAACTTCCCTTCATCATGTTTTATGGGACCAATATGTTGTGACTTTGCTTTTTTACTGTTAATATATGTTAAAAAATTTGGGGGATTTTTTTTTTTATTTCCTCCATTATATGCCTCTCATAATCTATTTTAGCCACCCTGATTGCGCTCTTACATTTCTTATTGCATTCCTTGTAGTGTTGGAATGCTGACAATGACCCTTATATATGACAATATATTTTTTAAAGGACATTTCTTTTCTTCAATATGTCTTTTTACATTACAGTTTAGCCACCCAGGTTTTAGCTCTGCTCTTTTAAAATAATTGCCCATTGGAATACACTGGATAATACCTTAATTCAATATGTTTCTAAAGTACTCCTATTTTTCCTCAGTGTTTAATGTTTCTAGGATTTCCCCTCACTCTCTCCCCATCACACCCCCCCTCTTTTTCTTTCTTTTTCTTTTTGATCAAGCCTTGAACCTGATTGTTCCATCCCAAATGAAGTCACAAATGTTGCAGATCAGCTTTTGAAAATCTTGTCACTTTACTATTTTCAATAAATTCCGTTTCCCAACAGTAAAAAAAAAAAGGCTAAATAATTTTAGAAATATGATAGATAGGATAGTATTATGTAGAGCATACAGTGCAGCAATAAGGACTACTGTACAACATACTTTGCAAAAGTCAGAATGCCCCCCTTACACTGGTGCTCAGTGGTCAGTGCATCCCTGTACTTGGTGGTCAGTGCTTAGTCTACCCCCTTACATTGGGGGCCAAGTCCCCAATGTGCCTCCTTACATTTGTGGTCAGTACTCAGTGTGTCCCCTCACATGGGTGCTCAGTGCATCCTTTTATATTGGTAGTCAGTGGTCAGCATGTCCCCTTACACTGGTGGTCAGTGTGTCCCCTTGTATTAGTAATCAATGTGCTCCTTTACACTGGTGGTTAGTGTTCCCTCTTACACTGGTGGTCAATGTGCTGCTTTACATTGGTGGTCAAGCGAACCACTTATGCTGGTGGTCAGTCTTTCTGTTAACCCTCATTCACACAGGCATACTGTCACTTCAGCCTTGCAGAGGGCCCGGCTGTTGAGAAACACCAAGCACTAATATTTTCATAAATTTGACTTTAATTACCTGTTTATCTGTTCTCCTGGTAGCTTGCTAGTGTTTGTAAAGCTTTTTAAGATGATCTGTTTAGGAAAAATTCTAATAGGTTTGCATTTATGCTGAGCTCACACTCAGCTAGCAAAAATAGGTAAAAATGCAGAGCAAGAATGAAATGACAGATTTTATTTACCTGACAGGAAAACAGAGCACATAAAAGAAGACTGGTTTATCTAGGTTCAAAGTGCAACATTCTAACACTCTAATCTCACCCGCAACAGCCAGTGATATTTAAAAATGTTGATTAAAATCAATTTTCAGCAGCTCAGAAATTAATACTCATGATTAGAGATGAGCGAAGTATTCAAAAATTCGATTCGGCTGATTCGGCGAATTCGAGGAATAAATTCGATTCGAGGCGAATATATTCGCTGCGAAAATTAACTTATAAAAAGGGTGTTTCTAGGCTTCAGAGAGCCTTTATATTAGTGCAGAACACTGTACGCTTAATTTAAATGCCCTTGGAGTCTGCTGGGGAAGAGAAATAATACTGTCAGTCAGTATGACATGCAGATGAGTGCCGTCAATCTTAGAATCACTGCACACTTCACTCATTTGGGCAGTCACGGGGCCAAAACCAGAGTGTGGAGCCACAGTGTGGCGGTGGAGGCAGCAGCAATGGGAGGCCATACAGCACCCTATGACAAAATGGAACCCACCAGCAGTGTGAGGAGACCTGAAAGTGGCACATGGCAGAGTGTGGCGATGGAGACAGCAGCAATGGGAGGCCGTACAGGGACCCATGACACACTCTGGACCTGGCAGCAGCATGAGGAGGCGGTACAGGGGCCCATGACAGATTACGGGCCTGGCAGCAGTATGAGGAGTCGGTACGGGGGCCCATGGCAGATTACGGGCCTGGCAGCAACAATGGGAGGCCCGTAATCTGCCAGCACCCTATGACAAAATGGAACCCACCAGCAGTGTGAGGAGACCTGAAAGTGGCACATGGCAGAGTGTGGCGATGGAGACAGCAGCAATGGGAGGCCGTACAGGGACCCATGACACACTCTGGACCTGGCAGCAGCATGAGGAGGCGGTACGGGGGCCCATGGCAGATTACGGGCCTGGCAGCAGCAATGGGAGGCCCGTTAATCTGCCAGCACCCTATGACAAAATGGAACCCACCAGCAGTGTGAGGAGACCTGAAAGTGGCACATGCCAGAGTGTGGCGATGGAGACAGCAGCAATGGGAGGCCGTACAGGGACCCATGACAGATTACGGGCCTGGCAGCAGCATGAGGAGGCAGTAAGGGGGCCCATGGCAGATTACGGGCCTGGCAGCAGCAATGGGAGGCCCGTAATCTGCCAGCACCCTATGACAAATGGAACCCACCAGCAGTGTGAGGAGACCTGAAAGTGGCACATGGCAGAGTGTGGCGATGGAGACAGCAGCAATGGGAGGCCGTACAGGGACCATGACAGATTACGGGCCTGGGGCAGAAGCAGAGGTGAGGCCATGACCGACGTGGGCACAGGCGGCGCACAGGGACAGACTTTACGAACCGGGCCTACGGCCCCAAGCCAGCAAACCTTGGACAGTCGAGGACGTTCAAGCTTCCCTGCATCAGACGACGCGCGCGTCGCCGTGCCTCGCCAAACTGTGGTCCTCCTTGAGAAATGGAGTTCCCAAGATAAAATGACTCTGCTGACGGAATACAGAGCGATGAGCCCAGTAGCAGGAGACAGGAGCTTCCTGAAACGAGCGGAATATGCCAACAAGCGACAAAAGGGGCCCACTGACAGATTAGGGCCCCTGGCAGCAGCCCCTTTAGGGGGGGGTAAGGGGCCCATGGCAGATTACGGGGCCCCGGGCCAGCAGCAAAAGGGAAAAGGCCCCTAATCTGCCAGCACCCCATGACAAAATTTGGGAACCCCCAAGGTGTGGGGGCCTGAAAGTTGGGACATGGCAGAAATGTGGCGATGGGGGACCGCCGCAAAAGGGAGGCGGGACAGGGGCCCCCTTT